CTGGAGAATTGGTCCCTTTTTGAAAAAGAGCCCAGAGCGAATGTTTCTCAAAACAAGTTCCTCCCGAAGCTGCGGGTGGCTTGCCCACCCGCAGAAGAAAAACCGGTTAAGTGGGGAACACCGTCATTAGCACGGTCCTCTTTAAGGGCCACATGATTAGGATTGAGCTTGCGAACTGCTTTTTATACCATACCATGTCATGATAATCGGCGCAACATGTTAGTATATTTATATAATGGTTTGCCCTTATACTACATATATGTTTCTTGAAAAAGGGATCCAAACACACCCAGATACGAATTGGTTGTGCCCTTTTAAGCACAACTTACTCCTAAACAATAATAAGTAAAATAACACTCTGCTTACCGATTTTTTTTAAATACACCCACACACATCAGCAAAAACACTTTTTTGGAACACCCCGATAAGTTGTATTTGGTGCCGATAGCCAGGCGTTTACAAATCAAAGCCCCCGCACACACACACACACACACACACACACACACACACACACACACACACACACACACACACACACACACACACACACACACACACACACACACACACACACACACACACACACACACACACACACACACGCACGCACGCACGCACGCACGCACGCACGCACGCACGCACGCACGCACGCACGCACGCACGCACGCACGCACGCACGCACGCACGCACGCACGCACGCACACACACACACACACACACACACACACAGTGCACAGGCCATGGTTCACTAACGATTCTTCCCATGAGCTGACAACACTTTGCTCACAAAAGCATACGGGCCATCTACTCACTTCTTAAGTGGATTGGCCCCAAAATGTCTAAACTCAGAAAGCATATAAACCGCTAAACTGCTGCCGCCCGCCAAACACACCATTCCAGTTTTGCTCTGTTGTAGTCTTCCCCAAGGTGTCTTTGGGCGCGGTCCCCCAAAGGGAGGATGGACATAGTCCATTGGAAAGCACCTCGCAGCCACAGGGACTCACTTTCACGAATTCCAGGGTGCCGCCCTCGTGCTAAGTCGCTTTGGCCTGGCATCCATGTTCTCAGAAGAGAGCGCCTGCCCCATGCATATCAATGTGTATATTGTATGTGGGGTATGTTTTGTTGAGGGTTCCCTTGCGGGGTTTGCATTCAATTCGCCCCAGAAAGGGTTTCCTGTTCAAACCCCCGGTGTTGAGCACCTCAATAAGTATATATAAGTATCCAAAAGGCGCGTCCGAACCTCTCCCTGGAATGTTACCCCGCCTCACTTGTGGTTTCCTTGAATTCAGCAGGCGGCAAATTCGGGTTTGAAGGACGCAAGGAGGCGAGTGGTTGCCTCCAGTTCATGGCAATTCGAAACTTGTCAACTTTAACAAAAAGCAAACTGATGAGTTAGCTGGTTCTTGCTTTTGTCAAGCTAGGCGCCCTCCCAAATGGATCGCTGCCTTTTGCTTTCCTCTCACTTCTTCCCTTTTGGGGCCCTGGTTTGACACCTACCCATGTCGGGGGTTGCTTGTTTGCCTTTGCATCCATCTGTGGTTGTGTAGCACCTACGGCAAGTGGCTGTGGTTTCAAACAATCGACCAAGCGTGTACGTTTCTTCTTCTTTTTTGACATGAATGCCCGGCAATGTCAACAGAATGGACAGGGAAGTACCGAAACCAATGACCATCAACCTGCAAGACCGATGGGGCCCACCTGCACACTTGGGCATGTGCGGGCCCAACGCCATCATCGTGGCTGCAAAGCAAGGCAAATGACCCTAAGAGGTTGCAGCCTCGGACATTTCATAGACTCAGCCCCAGAAGACTTGCCTTTCAGCCCAAATTGAGGCCTGGATTTTGACCTTCGCAAACCCCATCAAGGCCCATCAAGGCACGTGGATCAACCCAGGCGCAAACATCCGTCGGCCAGGGAGCTGTTCCAGCTCGACCATTGGACAAGTTTTCCCGACTGTCTCCGCCCACGCCCGCCCACACCTCAGACTGCTCGCACGCCTCGGCGACGGAAAGTTCAGCTGAAGATGCGCAACCAAAAGGTCCCGCGCTGATAGACGACCGCCGTGTGTGCTTTTTCAATGGGGGGAGCCTCGACCCGATCCCCGCTCGACTCGACCCCCGCTGCAAACACAAAGCTGGCGATGCTTTGGCTGGCGCCTCCGACCTCTACGAGCCAGCTTGAGCTTGAGACCGCTAGGTGAACGTGCTTGGACCTCCAAGTGGTATTTCCAAGATAATTTCGCCAAGAAGAAACGCAAGTGATTTGGGCACCGCTTTTCTCATAGCCTCGTGCGCTACCTCTTCGCGTGTGGGATCAACAAAACATGTACCACGAGGTAGGCTAATCAAGAAGCTCAGGACTCACACCTTGCTGGTCGATGGAGGTCATGAACTGCTTTAGAAGAAAGAGTCAAATGGTTGGCGGTATATCAACCGCCACATGGTATGCACCACACCTCCTAAGGTGGGTGTAGGGCGCAGTGTGAGGGTGGTTGGAGGTGGGTTCAGGTGGGCTTGGTGTTCTTTTGGGTGGGTTCATGGTAGGTTTGAGGTGTGCTCCGGGTTGCCTCGGCCCAGTCAAGCTTGCAGCGCCGGTGGCTCCCGTCTGGGGGGTGTTTCGGGTGAGTGCAGGGTGGGTTTAATTATGGTGGGATTCGGGTTGGTTTACCGTGGGCATAGGGCAGGTTTAGGGTGGGTTGAGGGTAGGACTAATGTGGTTTCGGGGGAAGGTGTTTTAGGTCACTTTCTGTTCTACCAACATGGATCAGCCAAACCAAATATTAGAAGTTGCTACACACAGTGAGAATTTGGACTTCGGACCAAACCTCAAAAAGGGTCGTTCTAAAGTTGCAACGCAAAAGGCAAACCACCCTTTGGGGGAGGGGGGAGCATGGTACCAACATTCCGAGCAAATGTTCGCAACGTTGAGGTAGAAAATGGGATGGGTTGGTTTGGCGATCCCTCGAATTCGACACATGGGGGTTGAGATCCATATGTTCGGCCCCAAATGACCATGTGCTAACTTTTCCCTTTTAGTGGGGAATTCCCATGCACAAGTAAACATATGATAAATTCTTGGGGTACATCATGGTACATCCCATGTCATATGGCATTAGGGAATTCCAATTTCGTGGGGTAATTCTAGTGGTCTTCTCACTGGCCATCTTCCATTTGCTTCAGCCCCCCGGAAAAAACTAACAAACACATCCAGTAGTGATAGAATCCCTTTGAAACCCAAGGGATAACAACAATAATAATACTAATAATAATACTAATATAAAAAAAGAAGTGCAAATGGAAGTCATCCCATGCTCACCGGACCTTTGGATCAACCCCCACCTGCCGAAGCGCAAGCGAGTGAAGGGCCCCGCAGGCGCCCCGGCCCTGGCTCAGCTGCTGGGCCCTCTCTGGGTCGACCGCGGCAGCCAACTGTCCCAAAACGAGGCGCGTGGAGGCGCGGCCGGGTTCCAACAAACAGTCGCACGGTTTTGAGGTTGACGGCTTGAGCGGTCCCGGCAACTTGGGTGCGACCAGGTCTTATACTGTCCGAGCAACTAACCGTTACTCCATACCATTGCCTGGGTTCAAACAAACAAACGGGAAGCCAATCAGGCGAAAGGGACCTGGGCATAGGTGTGTCCCTTTTAGGGGGATTTAAACCACCAGGGAAACCAGGGATCGCCATCTATGTTTCGAGCAACACGACCAAAAAGGACACCTATGGACCTTGGTGTGGGAAATAGCTCGATTTTTTGGGAGGGTTGTGCTGGTCGTAGTGTCTGATAGCAAGACCCCGATTTTTTTTGCTTGACAGCACAGGGTGCAAACAAACAGAAATAGCAAACAAAGAAATGCTCTCCCGCGGACTAACGTGGAAGCCAGCAAAACCACCTATTGACAAATGAAATTCCCTTTTTGGGTGACTCGTGGATGAACAAGCAAAAGTCTACAGTGCGCAGGCCACAAAACAGCAGAAGCCATCCAGAAAGCGAGTCTCACGCTGTTCCCATCTGCCTCTTCGTGCAGGAACCCAGTAGTAAGAGGAAAAAGCAAATTTGACCAGGTTTATCCAAAGCAAGGAGTCTTGATGCCAGCAACTCGTTGCTGCAGGCTACTTTTTAGCACGTGATTCGGCAGAAGCTGGGGTGCGTGCTGCGTCAGATTGGCTGCTGTTGTCACACACTTCTCATCTTCTGTTGCTGGAAGAACGCCTACTCGTCTCATGTGACTCAATTCTTCACATGCATCATGGGACTGAAAACGAATGACACACTCGACCCAAACAAGAAAGTAAGAGCAAAACCGGGGGGCCCAAGCGCTGCATGCGCGCAACAGTTCAACTGATTCTGGCTGAGTTCTCACGATACACGCGACTCGCCGCGGAAAGGTGATTCAGAATCAGGTGGTGTTTATGGGAGAAACTCGTGGCTTGGTCAAACAACCAACAACGCCGGGCACGCTTAAGCGTTCAATTGCGGGCTCAGACGACTCCGCTGCTTGAAGCCACCTAGGTTTTTTGTTGGTCCTGTCAGCTTTTGGCTCAGCTTGGCGGTTTTCAGCATTCCTGGATCGACCTGGCCAGTGGACGTTGTCATTTTGCGCAAGCAGCAGTTTCGTCGGTGCCGAGCACAAGGAGGCAGTCATTCGCTCGGCCATAGCGTGTCGTCCGTTTCAGCCAGCGACCTCCTCGCCGATGGTCTCGGAAGATCCGAAGAGATTTCGGGTGGACCATGCCCGGATAGAGCCGCAGGCACGGTCGTGTTACCCTTGGGCCTATGGCACCCGCCTGTGGACGTAAGCCCTCTCGCTGGTCGATTCTTACCCTGGAAGTCGGCAACCCTGTTTTGCCCACCTGCAAGAGGACACCCTTTAAAAGGGGAAAGCAGGGTTTCCCCAGTAACGACCCAGTTTAACCAAGTCTTTGGAAGGTTTGGGTACTCTGAAGCTGGCTTCTTCTCCGCTCTACACATGGCAGCTTGCCTCTGAGCACGACAGCTTTCAGGACGCGCCAGAACTAGGTCCTAGTTCTGGCGAATCCTGAAAGCTGTCGTGCTCAAAGGCAGTAACTAGCAACTAGGACCGAAAGCAGGCGAAGGTCGGCGCGAAAGCTATTGGATGGATGGATGGATGGATGGATGGACGGACGGACGGAGGGATGGATGGACAGAGAAAAACCAACTGGGAAGTCACAAGCCTTTTTCAAAACGGGAGTGGATGCATGTGGGAAAGTCCTTGGACGGACACGTTCTTGTCTTCTTGTTTCCAGCACATTTTTGGGGCAACGTAGTCTAGAAACCAACTGGGTGCCTTTTTTTGAGGGGAACCCCATTCTGGTTTGTTTTAAAAGAAAACCAAAAGACGAAACTCGGTTTTGCAACCTCAGAGGGAAAAACAAAAGGACACCGACCACTTTGGAATCCCCTAAAAAACGGCAAACCCAAATTTGCAAGGCCACTCCTTCCAATTTGGGCCGGGTGGGAAAGTTGTCGTCGACTCGCCTTCACCGGCGTTTGGCCCATGAAGTTCTGAAGCTGCGGGTCCGCCCCCAGCTGCACCAGCGTCACCTCGGTTTCCGAGGCTTTGCCAAAGTCGCCCTCCCTAGTTGGAGACGGTTTTACCCCGTTTTTTTCAATTTGCTTAAGCCAAACAGCTGGTTCTTGAAATGAACGATGGTTGAAAAGAATGGGGAATCAACCCGAGAACTATTCAAATGTGTCGGTCAGCACATCCCACTGCAGCCCGCAAGGCTTTGAGCGCCCCGCGTAGGCATCGTAGTGCAGCTCATAGGCCTCTGTCTGAGGCTCACTTCGCGGACTGGCCCAAGGTCCGAACTGTTTGGTTTACCACTAACATGGCTTTCAGAAAACCAAAAAAAACATGGACCTCGGGACGTGAGGGGCAAGACTGAAACTCTGCCTCTTCTTTGTTTCAAGAGGCCGTCCTTTTGCAGGGCTTCAAGCACCGCGCGCAAGTGCTTCAGAAATACCCAAGTCCCCTTGAAGCTTCCCGATCCAGTCGTACAAAAAGATGAGAAACACAAGGCTGAATATAGGGCTCCCTATACTTCCCTTTTTGGTGGCTTCACCAAAACCAACTCGACTTGTACTCGCGAATATCCTCCTCAGGGCATGGCGTTGCCAAATGGCTGTTGCTCTAAATTAAAGAGCTGGGGTTATGCGGGTTTTAGTTGTTGGTTCCATTTACCAAGGTGCCATTTTGGTACTTTTATCCAACCCTGGCAAAGGAAGCCGACTTGCACAACTCCCGCGACACCTCCCGGCTGGCGCTCAGAGCAGAAGAGCGCAGCCGTATGAACACACTGGCAACCTGCATCAGCTTCTCCAAGATGTCAACTAGTTGGTTGCGGTTCGCTGTGAACGTGTCTCGCTGGATCGCCCCGGGAACGCTGGAGCGCACGAGCGCCCGGAATTTGCGGATGCAGTTTTGATAAGGCGTAGCCGTCAAATACAGTCGCCTGGCTGGCAAGCTCGAAACTGGTGCAGCTTGCTCCTTCCGTTCTTATGTGGGCCTCGTCAACAACCAGAATGTCACGAGCGCCTCTCGCCGCATCACCTCATCGCAAAGTCGGAAACAGGCCAATTAAACAACAATTTCCGCCATGTTTCCGGAGGAAACATGGGGAGGTTTGAGCTGAATGACTTTTTGGTACTGCCCAGAGAGGTTCGTCCCCCCGCTTTGTAAGCCTCTCACAAGGGACGTAGCATTGTACACAGGTGTCTAAGGAGAACTGTTCTTCTTCTCTTTCTTTGCGAGGCTGCCGGGGTCTTCAGTAGATAGCCAGGGGAAACCGCCCATGTGGGGGGTTGATCAGAAGGTCCATAAACATGGGATGGCATTGGTTGGAAAACCACGAGAAAGAGAAGATATTGTCCCATGGGAAAGTTACCCTTGGAAATTTGGTGGCAACCGGAATATTGATCAACCCCCATATAACAGCTAGAAGACCAACAATACATGTTGTCAACCTACTGCGGTAGCTTGCCTGGAAGTCTTGACAATTTTGCAGCCCCTACTACAACCCCATTTAACTCCACATGAAACCAGATAGTTGGGTTATCTACTAACAGGGTTAATTGGCTCTTTCCTTCTTGAGGGCACCCTTGTTGTGAATGGTGTTGAAGGGAAAGGGAAAACCAACCATTGTTGGTCGGTCCCCTCGAAAAAGGGAGACTCAAGCCTCAAAAATAAACAAATAACAACAACAAAACAATGCACTACCACAGTCCCTCCCTCAGCCTGGAAAGTCCACGTGGGTTCCCCCTATGTCGCCTACCTACAGGACACCCTGAAAAGACGGGTAAAGCAGTTGTTTTTCTTCCACCAACCACCCTATTTAACTAACCAGGTCTGCCTGGAAGGTTTGGGCAGTTCTACGGCAGTTCTAGAGGAACCTTCCAACAGGGATCCTTCTTCTAGAACCTCCAGAAACCCAGCATTTAACAGATCCGGTTTTTGAAAAGAACGGTTGAATACCTGGGTTTTGAAAAAGACGGTGGTTGAAAAGACTGCTTAGAATCAACCCACAGTTCGCTAAATGGTTAGTAGCCCCGGTTATAACCGACTTACCATGGCAAGTCCTCAACCAGGGTTGCTAACCATTTAGCCAAGTGCTGGACCATCGAAGTCTTGCTGGTAATGAGTTGGAAAGAAACCTGAGAAAAACCATCCCCTTTGGTTTCCTAACAAATCCCCAAGCAGCTCATCCTTAACACCCGGAACGGTCATACCTATCGCACAAGCATGTTAAATCGTGGTTCAAGGGGCAACCCCCAAAAGTTATTTTTGAGGACAGTCCCTCAAAGGCCGCACAGGCAACAGCACCGCGACCGAAGCCCTGAACAGATTGCAGCCGCTTGAAGGGACCCACCTCTAAACCTCACTTCCTAAGTGGCTTCGCAAAAAAAAAACTCCCAAACTGTTTATTTACCACTAGAATGGTCCAAACCCAAAAAGCTATAAAGTCCAGGAACTCAGGAAGTGAGGTAAAAAGGAAGCCGAAAGGACACCAACCAGTCTTGGGGGGCCCCAAGAAGGAAACTGGTTGCAGCCAAACAAGTCAAAACTTGTCATTACCACTCGGTCCAAACAAACCCAAGCAAAAATACTGAAGTCCAGGAATGGACGTGAGAAACTGGCGGCAACGTCTAAAAAAGCGACGCCACCCACGGGGCTTTTCCGTTCGCTGGAGCCCGCGGCCGCAAAGTGCAGCGCTGTCCAGCCGCGCACGTCACGGGCGTCCAGGGCCTCGCCTGCCGAGACGCGCGTTGCCCCCGTTTTGGGGGTGGGGTGAAAGAGTGACGTCCAAACTACCAGACAGCGAATTAGGGATAAGTTCGACTGAACAAAACCAGACCAAACCAGACCAAACCAGACCAAACCAGACCAAACCAGACCAAACCAGACCAAAACAAACCGAACAAAGTAACAACCACCACAAATCGATTGATATTTTAGGATCGGGAGAAGTTCAAAAATCTAGGAAAGCGAAGTAAGCAATCTGCAGGAAGCTCAAAAACACAGAGTTTCAAAAGGAAAACGGGGCAAACCACCAAAATATGGGGAGGCTGTTTTCCTTGAATTGTTGGCACATCTGAGGAAGACCTTCAAATACACTTTAGTTTTTTTTTCCAGAATGTGTCATCTCTTTGTTTTGTTGTTTTTGTTTTTTTTTGGGGGAGGGTGATGAAGTGTGAACAAGCCACAAGGGGGGACGGGAAGCCAGGATTCATCAACTCCATGGCTGACAAATGGGGGGTGTCGCACTTGAGAGTGCATCCTATACACAGAAAGGGAGGTTAATCATGTGGGAGGCTTGATCTGGGGTCAACTTGAAAAACGCGCTCGGGATGCTCGCACTCCAACCTGATCCCTGGAAAAGGAAAGCACAAGGACCCTTTTAAGGGCCTCACCGAGGTTCTGACCTGCATCAGGGCTCCCTGAAATATGTCCAAGCTAAAACAGAACTTCCGCAACTGAAAAGGAAGTTTACTTGAATTCGGCCATTCCAGGAGGTGATGCTTGATCCAAGAGAGAAACAGAGGGAATCCTGCCATCTCCCGTTCCATTCGAACCCAGAGCCTTCTGCATAGAGTCGATGGATGCCTGCTGCGCGACAAGCAGCACGGCGCCGGCCAAAGGGCCAAGGGAAGAACTCTGATCTAGGTATGTTTGTATTCCGCTGGATTCCTTTTTCCCATGACCCGGGTTGTACCAGGGCGTAACTGGCAGCGGGTATGTACCACGGTTTCAAAAATAGGACTTGGATCCCTCAAATTGGTCGGCGTCCTGGTGACTTGCCTTCAAAACCAACCGCAGAAGCAACTGTGGAGGGAGTGTACCTGACTGACCCATGGGCTTCTCTGAAGGGCAGCTAGTTCAGCCATTTGGCGGACATGCCGTCAAGTGCACGTGATTTCCCCGAGCTTGGGAAATTGCGCCCGAATCCACAGTTCCTGGTCCTACTCCTCGATCCGCAGTTCGCCAAAAGGAGAGCCACTACTATCTGGCAAAAGGAGTTAGGATTGATTCTGAACAACTCAGCATGTTTCAATGCAAAATGGCCATGGGTCAAAATCCCGTACCCCCAGTGAACATTCCAATCCCCACTAAAATAGGTTCTAAAATGGGTGGTGCACCTACCCCAAAATGGGATCCCATTGGTTTTGACCCACAGCCAAATGGTTTTGACCCACATCCCTAACCCTCCCGCCACCCCTCCACCCCCCCTGAAAGGACCATACCCTAGGTGCGGTGGGGGTGGGGAACACGGGGACAAAGACGACTCGCCTTCCACGGAGCCGTACTGGGCCGCGGCCATGAGCCGAGTGACCTGAGTTGAAGGTCATAGCCGAGCTCCGCTTTATACCCACCTGCAGATTTGGGTTGGTTGGTTGGTTGGTTGGTTGGCTGGCTGGCTGGCTGGCTGGTTGGTTGGTGCGTTGGTTGGTTGGTGCGTTGGTTGGTTGGTGCGTTGGTTCGCCGGGCTCTGTTTGACCTTCAAGTCTACCACTGCTAAATCAAATGGATCTCGAGATATTATTCAAGGTACCCCCTTTGTTGACCCAGAAAGGGCAGCAGATTTGGCCTCTCCATGCGGCCTCTTCCCCATTTTGGTTTGTTGGTTGCTGGTTGGTTGAGTTGGTTTACTCCCGGCTGCAGATTAAACTGGAACCCCGAAACCCTCAGTTGTGGAGGAATCTCTTTTTGGGGCACGCCTTGATGCCTTCCCCCTGCATCCCCATGAAACATCATCCTGAGGGAGACTTAGTTGAAAGCAGCAAGCAACCCAAGACAATAAATCAAAACCCCCAGTAGCTGATCCAAAACATGGCCCCCAAACTATGATGTTCCCCACACAACAACATATGCTGACCCCTGCATCATGGTGGCGTAACGTCGGGCCGTGAGGCAGCCAATCTGAGAACATGCGCTGTTCGGTCCAGGGTTAGCTCTCAAACCCGTCTTTCCGTGTGCAAGTGACAAACTTAGCAAGTACATTGCCATCCCACAGGACAAGCGAAGAAATCAGGTTTGCGGAGGATTGTTGCCAAAGGCGCCTTGTCCGTTTCTTGCATCGTTGGAGGGATGATCGGCATAAACAAATGCCATCCAGGTGCACAAAGAAAATGGCAACCCTTGAGCAACTGCAAGCTTCGAGTCTTGATGTTCGGGTTGGGAATGCGCCACATGCTAAAGTCCCCTTGAAAACAAACACCACAAAACATATATCCAGAAAGCGGTTCCCTTGAAAGCCAACAGGGGCAAAATGACAAATATCTTCATTTCAGCAAAATGGAAGGGTGCCGCTTTCCCTTGTGAAGGTTGTATGACGTAATCTGGGCTCCTTTGGCTTAAGATCTCTTTAAGTGGCCTTCCAACACTCCCACTGCCCCAGCGTGGGCCCTGGCGCCGTCGCTCCTGTTGGATCGGCCTCAGTCAGAAAGGTAGCTGGACCTACACGTGACTAGTATGCAACCATGCAATACATATCCACTTGTTCAAACACGAGGCCTGCCCATGTTCAAGCCCCGTGCTTGTCAACACTCGATCCATCATCATCATGATCATCATCATCATCATCATCATCATCATCATCATCATCATCATCATCATCATCATCATCACACGGCCACGGCAAGTCGCACAAAGCGCGGCATTGTTTCAGATCAGACCGCAAATAGCGCTCTCGGCGATAATGCTCCCTCAGCAGCCGAGTCCACTCGTACTCCGGCCCCTTGTCGCCATCCGTGACCTGGGTGGCCAGCACTCCGTACCTGAGTCGGTTTGACATGCTCTCATTCTGCTTATGGAGACAGGCATGTTCCGAAAGGCTAAACGGCTACAGGCGAAAGAGGTTATACAGGGTTTGCCTTTCCACTGTCCGCTGAAATGAACAGCCTCCCTTCAAAGGGTTTCTGCACTACCAGGGGGGCTGCTTATGGATTTGACCAACAGTGGAAAAGGCCAACCATAGTACTAAAGGGCAAGCAAGGTGCAGCTCAGGATCCGCTTGTGCCCCCAGCTCCCTGAACATGACGCCTGCGACTTGGATGGCCCCCTCCTGCACGGCCTGGGGGCTGATGAGCCACTCCAAGCCGCTCCACGCGCGGAAGTTGGGGTCGAAGGCCAAGTCAGAGTCCCAGTGCCGCCTTTTCCCCGCGAGGCTCGCAGGGTGGGAGCTGAAGCTGCCAGGTTTCACGCGCAGCTGGAGCACGGCCTGAATCCAAGTGTTTTCACCACTTGGCGACAGAGTGGAGTACACAGGATGCGCCGCATACTCGATCGAGGGGCTCACATATATGCCCTGACAGGGTATTTGGAGAGGTGTTGCATTTTGCCTCATCTCCCAAAACACCACATCCACAGCCCAGGTTACTTGTAAAACCTAAAGAAGGGCTCTCCCGAACAACCATCCGTAGCTTGGGCATCATGCACCGCGTGGGACGTCCACCCACATTGGGCCTGCCCGTGCCGGTTGCCGTGCACATATGCCGGGTCCCAAATAAATTTCTCGGCGAAGATGAGAACCTGGACGGATGCAAGGACAGATGCAAAGACCGAGGAACAAGCACCAGACCCCATGCTCGTCCAATCTCAAAGAAAACAAAGTGGGACATAACCAATTCTGTGATACCAAAGCGGCCATTCATACTTTGTCACTTCAAGGGAGAATCGCTCGGTATCACAGAGACTGTTTTCCACAAGCACAACCCCCGACCAGTACTGCCCTTGTGATCCAAGTTCGGTCCCATGCAGAATTAAAGACTTTGTTTGATATGTTTTGGTTGATATGATAGCTGACACAACGTTCATCGCCAAACCGAGAAACAAATACAACAGCCATGAATAAACAAGGTGGTTGAAAAAGCACAATCCTTCAGAAATGACGTGGGGGGCTCCGGATTGAACATCGCGGCTTTCCAGTAAAAGTGTAGTAGTATAGGAGTACGCTGCTTTGGCAGGTCCAGCTCGCACGTCGCGGATGACATCGGAGGACACTTTGGCAGTTTGTTCCAGAAGGAACGGGCTTCAGTTCGCACATGACACAGCAGGCAAGCGCCAAGGCCAATACGCATCTTAGTGTGCCAACCAATGCCGGGAATTTGGCGCGCATGCTTGGTTCAGGTGTGACGCAATTTGTCAAAAATCAACATGATCACCCGCACGTTTTGATACTGAACATAAACCTCTACTAGCGTAATTAATTACTAGTCTGTGTCCAGCAAATACCAGGATTTGCTGGATGCCTAGTACTTGCCGTCAGTCTGCGAGGCAGGGCACCGGGCGCAATACGTGGGGTCCATGATCACAATTAAGTCCCTTGCACAAATGTTCGCCAAAAGAACGCCGTCCGCAAGATCCCTCGCAGAGATTCCTCGGGCGTTAGCACACTTGGGGTCAGGGAAAGTCAACACACGCTAGCGAGCAACGACAACAAATGGCCGCTCTGAAAGCGCAGTGCCAGGCACCGGAGGCCTTCACACTTTCTGCTCGAAACTTGGCTTGAGCCAGAGAGGGAATGAAGGAAAGCTATCCGAAGCGTGGGGCAATTGCTGTCAGAAATCAGTGATTTTTGCCACATGCAGCGATCTGGGAGAAAATGAAAGCTGGAGGGCGAACGGTTTGACCACAAGCTATCCGGAACGCTGCCAAACAGGCGTGATTGATGTAAACACATAAGACTGCCAGAGTCAGGCAGAAGATGGCAGAAGCAAACTCACTGCCGCGCTTGAGGTGGGGGAACGACGGCCCAAGAACTCGAACGGCATCGAACGGCCCTGCGACCCAAGCTTGATTAGACAAGAAACAACCTAAACTAACAGCGTGCAAGGCGCATGGCAAGACACTGATCCTTGGTCCGACAAAAAAACGATTTGGAGGAGCGATGCTGACAGTGTCTGACAATGCTCACAGCAGAGCGCAAAGCAGAGCGCTATGCAAGCGGCATATCCCGACCATGACCGCAAAGATGCTGTATTCAATAGTATTCAACAAACAACGCAGACACCTGGGAACTCTGCTTGAGTCCTTGAGTGTAGCGCACATACATATATAGTGTTGAACAGGGGAGGTGTGCGGAAAATGGTGGCACAAACAGCGGGGCCTGCAACCCCGTGAAGTTGGTTTATAGCACATCCCACAATTCACAATGCTGTTATATTTCAGTTTGTCTCTGCTACGTCCGACAATTGAACCAGGCGCCAGATTCGCCCCTCCCATCACAAGCTCGAGCTCCTCTCAGGTGGTCCCTTTCATATTCTTGGCTCAACACAAGCCAACTGCGGTGCGGGAGATCCAGGGCTGTGTCGACTCTCACAAACGCCCAAACACAGCTTGAAACGTGGTGACATGAAGCGCAGCGCAACTTTATGGCCAGCACCTTTTGGAACATCCAATAAGCGGAACATCGACACTGGAGCTGGGCTGGTCATATCTGCCGGTTGTTTGAGGTTGCAGGCCGCCGCGCACACACGCAGCAAAAGCACAGCTAGCTTCAATTAAACGCAAGCGGTGCTCTGGCTCTAGCTTGCGGACGCGGCAGGGCGAGCAACCCTAATCCTGTTAAACATGTGAGGTGCGCAAAAACAAGGAACTATTCTGGAAGATACCCTCCCAAAGAAAAACGGCAAACGCCGCGGGACCATCCGGACAACACCGAACCCGAACTCGGGGGCGTGCAGCAAACTCCCGTGAAGAAAGCGTCCAGTCATGTCAGAAGAAGTACTCAGGAACACAAACATCCAAAGCACCTAACAAAAGAAAAACACATATTGATTGCGGCCAAGCGCTGCACGCTCCAGGCTGGTTCCATGATATGCCACCGGCCATTCTTGAAGAAACTCCTTCGTTGCCGCCCGGGCGGTTCGTCTCCAGCCACAGGGCTTGAAGTAGGGGAACCCTCCGCGCTCGCCGTAGTCGGCCGGAGTGAAAGAGAAACTTCTGCTGTAGGCCGTGGCCACGTGGGAAGACAGCGCGTCTTCAATGGCTTTCAGGCTCTTGAGCTCTGAGGTAGCCCTCCTGAAATCCAGCAGGCTTTGCACGCACGCCTTTCTCAGATATCTCAGATTCTCGAAAGTCTCGTCTGCCTTGGCGAACCTGCACAAAGCCGCCTGAAAGGAGTTGGGCCAATCAGGCACCCATCCGCGGCCATCAGCAAGTTTTAGCAAGCGAATCTCATGGTGCTGTTGGGAAAGGGCTTCCAACTCCCCGCAGGCTACAGGCAAACGTACACCTATATCGGGTAAGCAAGGCGGCACGAGGTCATTGGGCCAGTGCAGGCTAACGGTGCGGCACTGGTTCACCTCAATAGCTTCGTACTGCGAGAGAAAAGCTTCGGCTGAAGAGAAGTTTGGCTGCTGGCGTCCCAACTGCTGCCAGAAGTTTGTCAACGCATGCCTCCGCTTCTGGCCCATTGGCCACACCTGCGCGCGAGGCATGTCCGTTTCGACGCCGCTGCGGAGGCACTGTACAACTGCATTGCCCTCTTTGATGTAGCCATTCACAATCGCCCACCCTACTTGTCCTGGACCAGTTTGATTCACATCATGGCAGCACACCAGTTCCCCTGGATTTGGCTGTCGCCGCTCCCCCGTGATAAATTCTAGCACCGCCTCTCGAATGCTCACATGGAGTTTCTGAGCTGCCTCTTCCGGACTTCCTGAAAAGACAGGCACCTGCAGCCTGGGGCTTGACACGCGAAACGTGGCAACTGCACGCTTCAAATCGGCTAAGGGAGAGGTCTCATGCAAACCGCAAGTGTAGTGGATCTGTGCATTAGAGCTGGCATCCACATCCTTCAAAAGGCCCACCTTCGTTGAATCAGATTTGCGGCACACGTACTCGCCGATTTGCGCAGGTCTGATCCAATCAGCCACCCATCCGCGGCCATCTGCAAGCTCCAGCAAGCGAATCTCATGGTGCTGTTGGCAAATGGCTTTTAATGGTCTCCGAAAATATCTTGGGAGCCCCAAAATAAAGACTTTGTCCTTGAAAGGAAGCAAGAGGTCACTAGGCCAGTGTATGCTGAGAGTGTGACAATGTTTCACTTCGATGGCTTCGTCTGTCGGAAGAAAGGCTTCGGCCAAAGGCAAGCTTGGCCTCCGGCATCCCAACTCTGCCCAGAACGCCTGCAATTTCTTCATGACATTTGTGGGTATCGGGCGCACCTGTTTCCGAGGCAGGATCATTTCGACGTTACTGCGGAGGCACCGCACTTCGACTTTTCGCTTAGCCTTTTTCTTAGCATTCATGGCCCACCCTGCTGGCCTTGGACCATCAATCTGACTCCTCGAATCATGGTAGAGCACTAAGCAAGCTGGCAATGGTGGTGGCGTTCCACTTGTCTCCTGAAAGATAAATTTCAGCACCGCCTCTCGAACGCTCGAGTAGAGTTTCTCAGTCGCCTCCTCCAGACTTCCTGAAAATATTGGTACCTCCAGACTGGTCGATTCTATGCTACACGTGGCAATGGCACGCTCCAAATCGGAGAGGGGGCAAAACTCCTCATCCAGATAGCAATTGTAGTGAATGTAGTGAACCAATGCAGTATTGTGTTTATCAACATGCTTCAAGAGGCCCACCTTTGTTGACCAATCAGATTTGCGGCACACATAATCGCCGATTTGCAGCGGTCTTCCATCAAACTTAGCACCTGCTTGACGAATCCGTGCAGCTAGACACGGCTTAGCTGAGAAATCGTATCCGACCAAATGCGTCGAGCTGTACCGCTTCCAAGCCGCATAAAACGAACCCCATAGCTTATATGTGCCCGTGGAACAGGCAGCGCGCATGGCCGAACAATGCCGGAATGCGCTTGAGCAGGGATCCTTGCATTATACACCTGAACATTGCCCTGTAAATGGCGGTTTCCCTTTATCTTGGTGGAAAAAGCCATGTTTCAAATGGGCAAAATGTATCCACTTTAAGGAGCCCTGTTGAGCTTTGCCAAGATACATCGACAAGCCTCGCTTGCTCACTCCGAAGCTTGGCCAAAGACTGCCCCCTTTGCCGATCGCTGAATGATCGCACCTGCTCCCTTGTCACCACGGGCTTCATGAACACACGAGTAGATGGCCAAAGGCTCCCACGCAAAGCTTTTCGGAGATTCGACAGAATGAGCCTGATGATCTGATGTGTTTAAGCCATGCACCTGCGAATATCTCGTCTTTGCAAGCGTTTTTGGCGCATGGCCACGTGAGCGACGCTAAACACGCAGTCGCCCTAAAGGACATGGTAAGTTGAGTGAGTCCTCTGGCGTTTGTGGTTGAAGCTCAAACTGACCACAGACTGCTGGATAATTTCCCCCCCCCCCCAATCGGTGAGCTCGTTTTAAGTCACGCAGAACAAAAAGGCATCTCCAACAAGGAGACTCTACAAGTCATGGTTGGGGGATTCTGTTTTTTCAAAGGAGAATTGCAATTGAGTCAGGCTTCCGTGCCAATGTGTCCGTGTTCTTTTTTTAGGAATGCATCGTGAGAACCGGGACTCGTCCGCTCGGGGCGCTCCAAGTCGCCGGCGTTGGCCCACCATGAGCGGCTTCTTGGAGCCTCCGAAATCAGGGCCGAGTCCACCCGACTAACCCAAAGCTCAAAGTGGGTTTCCATCACGCGCTGGGGGCCCACCAATGGGCTTGCAGCACTGATGCCGGGGCAAAACCGTACAAAACAACTACACCAATTCTTGTATCAATCCCAGTTCCCCTCGGTGTTCTTGGTCTATCTGCACATTCTGTGTTTCTTTATTGCGCTCTATGATCCTCAACCCTCACCGGATGCCAAATTTGCGCTTTGGCAAAAACCATTGCCCGTGTACCAACCAGGGAGACTATGAAATGTGACAACCACACACACACACACACACACACACACACCTAGGGGCTGTCTTCTGGCTTGTGGGTCAACGTTTGCGCGGAGCACGGCCCCCGCCCTGGCCATGGCTCGCCTTTGCTGTTGCCGCTGGGTCGCGCCAAAAGCTCCTCGGTGAAGCCCTGGCGCATTAGCAATGAGGTGTCCGTTGAAACGCTCGAAGTCAACTGGTTCCAAAAAGGAAACTCCCCATAGTGCCCTCCAAAGGCCAGCTTACGGCTTTATTAGGTCTTTGCTTGGGGGCAAACAGAGGGAGGGAGGCTAGGAGGGTAGGGGAGGAGGGTGGATCCTATGTCTGGTGATGTGGCTTTAAATGCAGTTGGAACAAACTCCACAGCTAGTGACGCAATTTGGCTGTGTGGTTTAACGGGAAATTAAAAGAAAGCCGGCACAAAAACCAGGGGTCCGAATTCAATTTGAGACAAACAAGTTGATCAAAAAGGTCCCTTACATCGGAGTACCTTTGGGGAATCACAAACAAGATGATATTCCCGCCTCAAAGGGCGCAAAGTTAGCCACCACATGGCTTTCGTTTTGAGCTTGGCGATCCAAACTCAAGGGTCCGTCCTCGTCAGGGGTCCGTTTAGTTTCCAACCAAGGGGGTTCACAGGCAACCCACCGTGCCAGAAATGGGGCTCCGGAACCCTGGGTTGATGATTTGAAGGGCAACGTCTCAAGAGGACGATATGGGAGAGGCAGTTCTCAAAATTGAGGACCATCACCTTCTCATCACAAACAACTCCTGAAGAGGGTTGAACCCTCTTTCGGATGGGTTGCGAAGGACAATCCAGGAAATCGCTGCCACCTGAAGGAGTCCATAACTTTGAGAAACACTCGCATGGCGGGGAAGGGAAAGGTCGAGCAACGCCCCGCTGAGGGCGACATGCCTTTACACGTCTTGCATTCAGTCCCCCAATCCCGCAATCTGCCCTAATCTGCCCCAATCTGCCCTGAATCAATGGAATAGGCTGGACGCACACCTTGCCCAAACCCGTGGTGGTTTCCCTCAGTATGTCCCTTGGGTTCAGCTCCAAGAAAACCAGTCAACCCGGGCACAGCGCGGCAGCACACCTTCAAAGAAGGTTCGCGACAACTGACGCATTCTGTGAAACATGTGGTCTGAGGTCAAGATTCGCGTGTCCCCTGTCAAAATACGCTTGTCGAACATATGGCAATACTCCATGCACATTTATCAACGATGTCAACCAAGCGACCGGATCCAGCGACATTGTGCACCGCTTGAGGCAAGCTCAAGGATTCAGCCCCTGGTGCGCCTCCGCCGAGTCGTCGTGCCTTGTGCGGAAAAGTTTGGGCGCATGCGGAGTGGCGGGAAAGCACAAAACTCTTCAAGACCTATAGCCTTGCAGCCCGTTGTCAGATATTAGTTTTTCTAGACAATTGTGGCATACCCCCGGGACATCTACACTAAGGGGGCAACCACACATTTGTCCAATAAGATCGTCTGAAACGGACCAACCTGATGGTTTTCAGAGAACCAATCCTGGAGGGTGCCTGTTGACACACCCAACATCCCTGGGTACGCCATTCTGAACGTTTCAGTTCAAAGGGCTGTCGATCCAAAGCTTTGACTCTGACAACACCGAAAATTGACCCTGGATCTAAGTAGAACCCCACCAAAACTGGTCTGAATCCCCACTAAAGGATTGGGACACCCCAGCCCTAAACTATTGCAACCGCTAAGGCTCTGACATGAAATCAGGTAAATCAACTCGATTGAGCGCAAATTAGGTGTCCATGTGCGACTTTGAGTCTGACACATTTTTCAGAGTATTCCTCAGGTTTGGATTTCTTACGAAAGGGGTGTGTGTGTGTGTGTGTGTGTGTGTGTGTGTGTGTGTGTGTGTGTGTGTGTGTGTGTGTGTGTGTGTGTGTGTGTGTGTGTGTGTGTGTGTGTGTGTGTGTGTGTGTGTGTGTGTGTGTGTGTGTGAAGCGTCCTGGAGCACGGACGGAAATTCCACATTGCAGGGGGACACAGCACTTCACTGGGACTGTGTCCAACGAAGCTACCAGTGAAGTGGGATATCCAGCTTGGCCAGCTGGACGTACCTGCCTTTCCTTCTTTTTCCTGACTGTTTCTCTGTCCTGTTCGCTGTTGCTTCCCGGTTTCTGTTCTGCATTGTGATCTGTCAAGCAATTTCAGCAGTTGCAGGTTTTTCCAACCTTTGCATCTCGGCTAGTGAAGCCTCTCGAGATAAGTGTGTTTACCCACGGCCTGTCCGACATGGCGCTGTGGGCTGGACTCGCCACATGCGGGAGCCCCCTGCGAGGGGAAGACCGTTCAAGTGTTCAAATTCAAGCTGCAGTTCAGTTCAGCGCGTTTGACCACGATCAAGGCTGCAGCTTGAGGTCTTAAGGTATTCCGCACCCAAATGGTGCTCTGCTGGTTTCATGCGCGTTGCACTGCCTGCACTGCCTGCCTTTGATGCAAGGCTGCACCCACGAGGTTTCAGGTTCCTAAGCTTCATGCGCCAGTGACGAGTTGGTCATACACCAACTCTGCAATTCGTGGTGTTTATGGAAGCTTTCGTCTCGGATGAGTTCAGTTCAGATTCATCGGCATAGCCACATGAGGCACTTTCATGAGGCCACTTGACAGGCACCTCTGAGAACCCCTTTGTGCTCGCATGCATTTGCACCATTGACGCATTTTTGCTCGCATGCATTTGCACCATTGACGCATTTTTGCCGCAGTTGTGGTTTTGTTTCACCCCTTTCCAACCTTCTCTCTCCCTTGCGAGATGGCTGGACACCAGCTCTATGACATGATGCATTCGCTCCTGCACAGCATTGCGACCGGCACCGCGTCCGGCTCACCAGGCAATTGTGGACCGAACTTGCAGCTGTCATCCCAGATGACGCAGCCCATGAACCTTGTACCGTCACCCAACTCGCAGACGGCATCCTTCACACCTTTCCCCATGATGCCCTACGGCGGCCTCTCGAACAACGGCGGCCCCTCGAACTTTGGCAACCCGATGGCCATGATGCCCTACGGTGGCCCTCCCAATTACGGCAACTTGGCACCTGGCACCATCATGCCTTTCATGACTCAGAGCAGCATGCCATCTTCACTGCCCGAGCCTCAGCCGGCGCGCGCGCCCGAAGCTGCCGCTGCGGCTCCTGCCGCTACCTCCTCAACCAACCACCCTCCCCCGGACACTCGGCACCATCCCCACTCTCGCAGATCCCGTTCCCGCCACAGACAGCACCGACACTCCCACTCCCACACCAGCCACCATCGCAGGCACAACAAGTCGCACCGACGACACGACACCCGACGATCCCGCAGCTACAGCAGGTCACGTTCCCTTTCCCGACACTCCCACCACTCCCGACGTGCACACCACTCCACTGTCTCCCTCCGCTCCCGCTCCCCCCGACACAGGTCCCACCATCGACACTCCCCTACACCCAGAGCCACGACTTCGCACCGACCCACTCACACTCCTCATGATTCCACCTCCTGGCGCACTTCCGGGAAGGACTCCTGGCGCACTTCCGGGAAGGATTCCAACAAGTCTCAATGGTCCTCCTCACACTGGCGGAACCAATCGTGGGGATACCCACCACAGAACAAAAACCGCTGGGACATGCACCACCATGGCGCCAGCCACACCGGCCACCGAAACAACCAGGACAAACGATCGTCCTGGTCACTGCAGCACCATGGGCAGCACCCCCACCCCACTTCCCGCACCGGCCACCACAACACTAGCTTGCCCCCTCACCCAGCACCTGCGGCGGCCTTCACTTCCACTCCCCCTCCCCCTCCCCGACCCACGCCGGCTACTCCTCACCCTCCCCAACCCCCCTTCGACAACACCGGTGATTTGGATCCCCCTCCATCGGAGGCGGACATCAATGCCACCACCACTTCCGACAACCGGTGGCTTGATCTATGGAGA